CCTACACGCGCCCGCCGTTGGTCCAGTAGGGGTTAGTGATGATACTAAAAATGGACAAAAAACCGCTTACCTACGCATTTTAAGTAAGGTGAATTTCCGAAATTTTCAATTTTTCGCGCGGAAAATTGCCTTAATTAACATGATTACTGCGCATTAATTTGTCCCCTGATATGCTCCACCCCTTCTATCCCCTAAAACAAGGTGCCTTTACTGGAGTGGCGCACGCTTCACGCGCAATCTGTGGACCCCACGATATTTCCTTACCGTATTTAGATGTGTCGGATAGGAAGTTTTCCTGTAAAGGTCTTTGGACAGTTTCAATATTTTAACAGGTAAAGTCGTACACCAAACAGCAATATTTGAGAATAAAAAGAAAAAAAACACTTAGTAGAGCCTCAAACTTTAAAAAAAGCCCTAGCTGAGTGTAAACGAGGTAGTCGTTATTCCACCAAAGGCTTCCATTCATTGACACTTGAAAGCGTTTGTTCATTAACTGCGTACTTGAACAGATAAAATTCCTCGCTGAAACTTTTTGTACAAAGTGTCTGAACCAAACATTTATCAAGGTTAACATTTAAGAGCCAAAAGCAGGCTATCGGTTAAGCTAGGTCCGATTTTCCTTGAAATGTGTGCGGCAGGAGTTTCCTCGGTAGCACAATAATTCTCTTACTTATATTTACATACCTACTCAATAATTTTCAGTAGGCATAGTTTTATTTTCAGAAGTTGGCTAAATTTGTGCTTATGTGCGTCCTGCATGACGAATTGTCAGAGTTCAAGATCGCCCGCAGCCACGACGGCACACAGATTATGCACACAGGCGTTGTTATAGACTAGAAGGGGTACCGGTAACTTTATTGAATCCATAGTGATAATATTGGCAACACAGATACAAATTGATATCTAGGCATTAGCTCATACTGTTTTTTAAAATCTGTTTGCAAGAAATGCGAGAATTTATGCCAGCAGTTGCCATTTTTTCCATATATTTTAAGGTTTGTGAACATATTTCCTGCGTGGAGCATTGTTGACTAGGCGTAACTGACATTAATTTATGAGTAATTAGATAACTGGCTCCACCTAGTTTTCGCTTCTGTGACATACCTACTTATGTACAAATGACTTTGGTTAGGCTTGATAGATTACATTTCGTACGGCGAAAAATGGTAGGCGAAAAGGCAATTGAACTCTGTCACTAGTATTAACTTTAAAAATAACGGAATTTAGCCTTAAATTGACCTTAATGCTATCTTTACCGTAATGCTAACATGACTCTAAAATTACATCTGAAATAACTCTTAGTAT